GGGGGCTTTTATCACGAGAGGGAGCTTTCTTTTGGTCTTCTTGAGACAGGATCTCACTATGCAGTTCAGGCTGGCCTTGGGCTCACTTTATATATAGCCTGGGCTGGTCTCGAATTTGCAAAGATCCGCCTGCTCAGCCTCCCGAGTGCGGGGATCTCAGCATTGCTTTGACAGGGCAATGGGTCCAAAGCCTTTCCTCCAAACCTTTCATCATATATGAAAATCCATGGCCTGGGGCTAAAGGCCCTCCTAGGACCAGTCTCACTTCTCAAGCCAACCAGCCTCCTCTCCCCTGGCTCCCGAGCAATGGAACGTTGGCTTTAGGCTGTCTCAGCATGGAGGGAGTCTCCATAGAGAAGGCTGTGGCAGTTCCCTGCAGACAAAGGGCAGGTCTGCCTGATATAGGCTCTGATGGGGAAGGGCTCTGGGCACTGATGTGAGCTCATTTATTGTGTGAGAGTGTAGGGACTGGGCAAACCTTTACATGCCTGAGATTTGGCAGACTTTTGGGAGGAAGAAGCTCTAGGGGCTTCAGGGAAGAAGGAGGTATGCATCATCAGGTACAGCTTTGAACCTTGCTGTGATGACTGTGCTGGTTCTCAGACAAGAAATCTAACACGACATCTGCAACTCTATTTATTTTAGTTTGAGACAGACAGGGTCTTGCTAAATTCCCAGGCCGGCCTCGAACTTGAGATCCTCTTGCCTTGGCCCCCTAAACAGCTGAGATTGCATGCATGTGCCACTTGCCCAGTTAGTTTTCAATCCAGGCAATAACCTTTCTCTAAAACTTTTTAGCATATGGTTGAATGGGATGTGTGTGTGCATGTGCGTGTGCATGTTAGGAATGGAATCAGGGCCTCACGCGTGCTAAGCAGTGCTCTGTCACCGAGCTAGGTCCCAGCCGGAGGTAGCTGAGCATGTGACTGCAAGGCAGGACTGTGTCCGAGCGTTCTTTCTCACCATGGCCTCCGACATTCTGAGTAAGAACTGGCTCTCCAAGCGCCCTTCCTGGAACCCGCTGGTTGGCCTGCGGGAGGAGGAAGTCAAGGACTGGGGTCAGGTACCAACCCGTGGCCAAGGCGAGCTTGTCTGCTTTTCCCGGCAGGAGCGGGGAGGGTTTGATCTTTGCTCCCTGCTTCCCTGCGCTTAGAGCCCATCAGTGAGCAAACCTGCCACTGTGTCTAGCCAGCCAGGAAGTACACAGAAGTAAGAGGTGCTGGGAGACAGGGACAGCCGGGGTCAGGTGAGGCTGTGCACTGCCCTCCCTCCGGAGATGGCTGGTGTGGCTGGGCTTGCAAGGCGAGAAAGGCAGGTCATGAGCGGGTCCTGCCACCCTGCAGTGGGCCATCAGGAGAGGCACGGCCTTCTCACTGCCCAGCGGGAGCCTTCGAGGAGCTTTGCAAGCTCAGTTCTCACTCCCCCTGCTGGCCAGTTCCAGCCCCGATGCCAATGACCTCATCTCTGACCCTTGCCAGATTTTCTGAGGTCGATTATTAGTTACCAACAATGAATATTTATCATCATTTATCAACCTGAAGCTGTCGCAAAACTTAACCTGCGCTAACAGGACATTGACTGACAGAAAGCAGGCGTCTTCCTATGGAATCCGCTCTTTAAATGTCACAGAAAGGCTCTTGGAAGAGGAAGACGAAGGACTTGAGGTGAGCTGTAAGAGATTACACATCATCACCCAGTTGTCCCAGTCGCCTTCCTCACCGCGGGGACACAATCTCCAGGGCCCCAATTTGAGGAAGATGAGGTTGGCCTTGACTTTCATGTCCGTCTGTAGTGGGCTGGCTCCAGGGCAGGACAGCCTGGCAGAGGGGTCTAGTGGAGGAGAGCTGCTCACAGCACGGATGACAGGAAGCAGAGAGAGAAAAGAGGAGCCGGGGAGGGAGACAAACCCTCCCAGCCACCAGCGCACTGAGGCACCTCTCTCTTCCCACCGTCCCCACCTCCTGACAGCAAGTGTCACTCCGTCATGCAGTCACCTTTAAACCCCAGAGCCTTTGGGACCATCCGGATCTAGACCATAAATACCAGACAAAGACTAAGGAAGGGGCAGAGTCCACACAGAGGAACCGCCTCAGCCTGCAGGAGGCCCAGAGCGTGGCGGTGTGTGTGAGGAAACACCACGGCGCGGTCCCCTGCTCTCCCTCAGTCACCTGATGCTCGGAGACGCTGGCCTAAAGCACACGGAGCATTTCCCACACAGTCAGCCTTAAACACAACTCACATCGGACTCTGAGCAGCGACGAGGCTCAGTGCCTCATCACCATTGTGTGGCAGATGACGGCTAGCGTGGGTCCTTGCTTTAACAGAGATGGAAATTCAAAGGAAAACACTAACTAACTTACAGGAAAGGTGTGAGTAGCCGGAGGGGTGCACTCTGATTCAGGGGCTTGGGTTGGCCCACCCGCAAAGCACGAGGCCAGCTCTTAGGGATCAGCTCAGGCGGGCTGGGCCCACTGATTATCAGCTCAGTTCTGGTTTCATGGCTCAGGTTGAAACCTGGAAACGTGAGGGGCAGTGGCAGTCATGCAAGGCTGGACTCCAGGGTGGCCATAGGTTTAGGGCAGGGAGATTCTGGGCGTCGCTGCATGTCCCTGGTGCCTTCCGCTTTGACAGGTGATGGTGCAGGCTGGGCAGAGTCAGGGCTGACAGACACGGTCTCCCTGAGTGACCACCACACCGGTGGGCAGGATGCAGAAGGTGTTACCACTTTCACGGCATAAAATCAAGCTTTGTTTTACCTTTATTCCTTGAGCATTAGTAGGCGAAAGTGAAAAATGCCGCTTTCAAGTCCCTGACCGCATTAGGAGGAAGCTCAAATCAAGCTTTAGACGAGTGACGGGCGGGGGCCCAGGATTCTGCCCACCCACCCTGCCCTGGCCCTGTGGGGATCTCTGTGTGCCACGATGGTACCATTACTGTTTTGATGCTGTTTATGAGCTTTGCAGGATTTTTAGGGATGTGTTTTGAAGGCAAAATCTGTTCTGGGCCTGGATCTACAGAGCCTGGCCAATAACACAGCGGAGCACCGAGCAGCTCAGGGCTCCTGACCATAAAAGATGAGGCTGAGGAGGCACCTGGCATCCAGGGCACAGGAAGCCTCGTGCCAGGTAAGTGACTTGGACTTGGTCACGAGCCAGTGAGGAACTTGGATCAGAAGCGTTCTCTTCAGACCTGAAAACAGCGCCCTCTGTGAACCGTGTGGAAGATACCCTGGGGGAGATGGAGCCTGGAGACCCAGCTGGGCAGGGTGCACACACCTGTAATCCCAGCGCCACGGAGCCTGCGGCAGGAGGAGCACAACTTCAAGCCCCCCAGGACAACTTAGCAGCCTGTGAGATCCTCCATCAAGTTAAAAAGGAAAGGGCAGGGATACAGCTCAGTGTGAAATTCCTGTGTTTAGTCACCAGCACTGGGAAAAAAAGATTTAAAAAAAAAGACCAGAGGCCCAGTAGAGGGCTAATGCAGAGGGGAGGCTTCACACCGGAGCGAGCGTGGCCGTGAGGAAGCAAGCTAAGACAGCAGCCTTTCAGGAGGGCACTCCAGGGTGGGGTGGGAGGTCTGGGTTCCAGATGTGCCATTGGCCTTTCCCATCTTTGGGCCTCCGTTTACCCATCTACTACATAAAGGAGTCCTCTCTGCCGAGTACTGCTTCCTTGTAGGGTAATCACAATGTGTACCAGGAAGGGGAGCTATGAGCCGGCCCTTAGCAACACGGGAAGAGGCAACACTGCCCTTTGGCTTTCTCGTGAGAATCCCTGTATAACATCAAGCACCAGGATAGTGGTGTCAGCCACCCGTACCAGATGCCCAGGATGGGGACCTCCCACTGTGCGGGCCTATAGCAAGTGGTCCCTGGGTTTTGGATGTTATGAGCCAGCCTGTTCCCACACCTGATAAAAATGGCTCACATCTGTAGTGCTAAGAGGATGCTAGCACTGAGTATCTGACGTGAATTACCTCATTCGGTTCTTGTACAACAGTGTAAGGTGGGTACAGTCCATACCGTAATTTATAGTTATGCAACTTGAGATCCAGAGAGATCAGGGGAGTCTACAGAAGTGGGACTGAAACTCGGGCTTCTGCTCACAGTTCTGTCACAGCGCCTTCCACATCCGAACGCTCCCGTTGCTAGGGTTCCTCTGTGTGATGTGACTGACTGTTTAAAATGGTGCCCGTCAGGCTCTAGGGGAGCACCCGCCCAGCAGTGTGAACCCTGAGCTCCGTCCCTATCATCTCAGCCAGCTGTCCCCGCTGCTGGGGGTGAGCTCCCACTACCCGAAAGCCACAAGTTAGAGGAAGAGAGGTTTTAATGGTTGCCATTTCGGGGCTCCACTGGCTCCAACCAAAAACATCACAGTGGGGGTGGCTGGAGGGGCAGAGCTGTTCTGTTCATGGGATCCAGAAGCAGAGCAGGGGACGGCACCAGAGTGGAAGGGGTGAGGGACCAGACACAGTCCTGAGGCCACACCTCCATGGCACACCCCAGCGAACCCAGGAGAATACTCCAGTAATCTGCTAGATGTTTCTTAATTCCATGGAGTTGGCACATGAGGATTAACAGTCATAGCCTCATACTCAAGATAGATACACGGAGAGAGGGAGAGAGGAGACCACAGCCTCCTGAGCTTGTCACCAAGACTGAGTGTAGGACTCACAGACAGGTACGCTGTGATCGCAGTCAGGGCTCAGACAGGTGCAGAGTTAAGTTCGGAGCCAGAGGACCTGAACGCTCTTTCTTCCTGTTGCTTTCCGTGCTGGTTTGCCAACTCACAGCCATTCGGGCCCACGATTCAGCAAATGCACTTGGGAAGCCATAAGGTTCTAAAACCAAATACAGGGGCTGAGAATGCAACAGGACCTTCCAGGTTTGTTTGTGTGGCTTTTAAAAGTAGTGCTTACTGAACTAAAAATAAGTCCACTTTCTTTTTTATTGTTTTAAAAGCCTTCTACCTCCTGCTTACTTTCTTCCTGCTTCCTTGCAGGTTCCGCCTGTCCCTGCCGGAGTCCAATCGCAGCGACATTAAGGTAGGAAAGGAGCTCTCTGGTCCCCAGGGCTGGGGAGGATGGAAATTCTCCTCTACGGTTCTGCATGGATTGTGCTCTGTGTCCCTGAGCCCTTGATTTCCTCATGGCTACAGGTTTTAAGTTCAAAACTATTATCTGCTCATCTATCAACCCCGCTAATTCCCTAGTGTACTTTTACAAGGAACCTGGAAGCCTGTTAAGACGTTGTATGATATGAGGATATGTTTCCAAGTCAGCTTTGTCACTGTGTAAGGTCATCCTCAAGGTTAAATGTAAGGCCTAGGCCCCCAAAGAAAGAGCCTGAGCATAAACCAGCAGGCTTGAAGGTCTGGGCATCCAGTGCTGACCAGGAATTAGGTCAAGGTAGGCTGTGTGGACACCTCTCTGGTAGGAGAGCCCAGCCTCGTGACTTCTTGTTTGGGAGCAGATACTCCATGGAGTAATTCGGGACCCCCTCCCCCAAGCTTCAGGAAGATCAGCCACATCATGCTTAGCTGCTCCAGCATGGAGCTAGCCAGTGCAGGACTTTGGAGAAGCTGGTGCAGGACTTTGGTGTCACAATGCCTGGCGCACTGCCTGCTGCCCGATGCAATGGCACCGCGGTCACGCTCTTCCCAGTAAATGCTGATTCTGGTGCCATGCATTCACTGGCAAGGACTTACTCAGCCTGGGACTATTCTAGACCAAGCAGAGATGATGTTACCTGACACCTATGTCCCGGGACAGTGGGTGTCAACAAGGGCTCAGTGAGACCAACATCTGGCAATGTCTGGAGACATTTTTAGTTGTCACGACCTGGGGTGGAAGAGGGTACTATGGGGGCCAGGGATGCTGCACAAGACAGCTTCCCAAGACAGAGACTGAGCCATGCCAAAATGTCACCAGTGCCACAATACGCAAGCCTGTTCTAGGATGTATACAACTGTGCCCAGGTCGGAGGGCAAACAGCAAGCAAACAAATACATGTTGTATGTGTTGAATGATTCTGTAGAGAAAAATAAATCAGAAGAGGCACCGCAACGGGTCCAGAGCTGGACAGCAAAACCTCAGGACTGTTAATCGTCTGTGGGACTCACTTGGCACGGCGGCTGCCTGGCCATCGTTTTTAGGGTTATAATTACTGTTTCTGTTATGGTCATCTCTATATCAAGGACTGATGGCATACTACAATAGTTTCATGCATAAACTCCGAGGCCAAACAGAAGTCCATTTACTGCCAGTGTGACCTTGGGCATGTCACTCAGCCTCCCCCAAGGCAGAGCCTGGGAGACGGTAGGCACAGAAACGTGGGGAGAAGACAGAAACAGATACCAGGGAAAGCAGCCAGGAAGTCAAACCAGACATTGTCTGTTGGTTACATTGTAGAGGAGCATCCGGTGTGTCAGTTTGGGGTGTTTGGTAAGCCGGAACAATAGAGCCCACGGCTGGGAAATAAGTCACATGTCCCGGCAGCACCCTAAAGCCCCAGAATTGTCCTGGGCACTGCCGGGGACACCCCAGGAACACCAGTTTTGTGGTGGACACAGCAAAGGAGAAGGCGTGGCTGGCTTTCTCATTGATCCTATTTCCCAAGAGACAAGCCAAGAAGCGTCCACGGCTTCCAGGAAGACCTTGGAAAAGAGCTTCGCATCAACCACCAAACGCGCTGGCCACTGCATGTCAGGGGAAACGGCAGTGGTTTATGGCAGGCGCTTTGCATAATGTTAACTTGTTTAACCCTGGCCGCCACCCTAGGATATGAGGATGATGAAGATCACAAAAGCATCTTACTATTTACTTCACTGTGTAGATCAGAAAATGGGGGAGGCTAAGTAACTTTCCCAGCTTCACCTAGCAAGTGGCTAAAAACACACGCTCATCTGTTTACTCCAGTTCCTGGATCTTCCCAGGGAACGGCCCTGCGCTTAGGCGCTCCAGCTCCCACAGCTGATTAGGATAAACTGAGCGTTCTGATATTCGGGTGGTTTCAGAGCCTAACACAGCACAAAGCCTCTCTTGGGCAAGGCTCCTGGTAGACAATGGCAGGGTATCTAAGCAGCTGCATTCTCTATCGCCCTGGGGTCCCTGTGCCCTGGCCATCACCGTAGCCAGCACAGGGGAAAGCAGAGTGTCCATCCTGGGAGAGACATCACCCGGAACCCTCGTGGCATGGTTTCCCACAACGCTAGCAAATCCCTTGGGAAAGCTCTGGCTACTGCTCCCTGGGCAGGTCAAGGAAGGACATGTCAAGCCAGGGGTGGTGTTTTCACAGCACTTTGATCAGGCAGCTGATAGGTTCCTCCTTCTCTGCAGGTCTTGAGGTTTGAGAACATCCTGTCCTCCATTCTGCACTTTGGCGTCCTCCCTCTGGCCAATAGTAAGTGACTCCTGGGAGGAGATGTCAGAGATGTCGGTTTAACAGTGGGAGGAGTTGCCTGGGAATCTCTGCTCTGAAGTCTGCACTTCCAAAGTGTTATTAGGAACCCAGGCCAGAGCCACAAGTTACAGTAAATACTGTCAACAGCAGGGTTGCAAGCTTAGTTACTCCAGGTCCGAACCTTGTTAGCAACTATGCTTATTTAAAGTTGGCATCAATTCTGGCTGAATTAAATGGTACAGAATAATACAGCATCCTTCAGGTCAGCAGGAAGTGGGTAATTCTGCCCGGGAAGTGGTTCCCGCACAAGGACCAAACGGTTTACTGGATGACAATCCTGGGCCTCTCCACTCTGCAATGATTCGCAAACCACAGCATCTGGAGTTGGCTCAGTTACCAAAACCAAACAAACTATATTTCAGTGCTGGAAATCAAACACAGGAGTGCTATACCACTGAGCCTCACACACAGCCCTTTTTAATTTTTGAGACAGGGTCTTGCTAATTGCCCAGGCAGGACTGAACTTGTGATCTTCTTGCTTTGGTTTCCTTTGGTGTTGGGATTAGAAATGTGCACCATCACCAACCCAGCTAAAATGTTTTTTATATTAAACTCTGGAGCTTTCTCAAGACACATTAATTAGGTATTTTCAAAACATAGATTGAGTAAGTAGAAGAACATCAGTTTCTGGTGCAAGCATGAGGTCATGAGTCAAATTCTCAGTACAAAAAACAAAGCAGCACATCATTGCAGGTGGATTTTTACTGAACACAGATGAATCAACAATTCTTCCAGGAAAATACCAGGAGCCCACCAGAGAGAATGAAAACAGAATGAGAAGGAAGAGAAAAGATAAACTGTTAAAAAGCTGCCTGTTTGGCTCTTGGTAAAATGTTTGCTCATTGTGCCCAGTTACCTTGTGACTTTTTCTGTGTTTTAGAAAAATTGCAGCAAGGATTTCCCCTGCCCAGGCCATACAATGTCTCATTGGTCAATTCGGATATTGAGGTTCTTGAGGTAAGATTTTGAATCTTTCCTAACTGACCCATTTCTTCTTATAGTAGACTAAGCCTGCATCTGTTTGCTTATTTTTCTGTTATTTTATTTTGTCTGAGGAACTTTATAAACAAAATGTTTAGCTCGTAAAGCTTTCAATTAACAAGGAAAAGTTAATGAATCAGACGAAGTCCAATTTTACTACCAAGTTTATTCACTCCGCAGTACAAGAATATATGCCTTAGCACACTTTATTAACGCCACAAAACAAGCTAAGGCTGGAACTATTAATCCCATTTTCCAGATGAGGACAGTAAGAGGCAGAGAGGTGAAGGGACCCAGGTAGTTTCCAAATGGACAGACGGGCTCTCCTGGTAATCCCAGTTAATGGATGGGCCTTTGGGCCAGGAATCTATGGAGAACTGTTTCTTGGCTAATCATTATTAACTAGCTTCATGATACCATTTATTTCCCTCTTTCTTTTTGGCATTTGTTTTGGTTTCAGGAGGTGAAAATAAGTTTCTGAAGGAAACTCTGGCCCGGTAGCTCCCCTGCATACCCCTTCATCTCCTGGCTTCCCCCACCCCACCCTCAACTGCCCCCCCAACACAGCCTACCCTGAGGCCTTCGCAGTGGGGGTTAGAAGCTGAGGGAGACTTAACACCTTGGGGCCCGGGAAAGAAACCAGTACTCCTTTAGCCCTCAGGACTGACTCCAAACTCCAGGCTCATCACTGCACCTTTTTTCAGGGTTTCATTTTGATTTCCACCGACCTGAAGTATGAAATGTCTTCAAAACAGCAGCCAACTTTCCATGGCTGGGGAGATGTGAACTGGATAAGGAGACCGGGTTCGGGGCAGCCAGCCCCTTGATGCCTGTTCACATCCAAACCAGGAAGGAACTGGCCGGAATCCCACAGCGCCTGGCCATGGCGAGGGGAAGTCAGCGCACAGTGGAATTCGAAAGCCCTTCTGAACTGTGTAGGCAGCAAATTTGCTCTCTGGAGCCTCTGGGAACCTAGAGTAGGGCCACCTGGGCTGAAGGCTGAGCGGGCATCCGCGAGCTGTGTGTGTATATGGAGGGTCATGAATTGTAATGTGTGTGTAGATGCCGTGTGCCTGTGTTTATAAGATTCTGGGGACAAGAACTTGGCATGTATTTCTCACCAGGTGGGTGAAAACTCTTAAATCTGTATTTATATTGCTACTCTTCTTTAGAGATTTTCTCTACCTGCATACTGGATTTTACATTTTATATTCACTGTTACTGTCCCCTATGTGTGATTAAAATCATTTTCTACCCATGTCGGATTGGCTTTTTGAGAAATTTCCTGCTCTGAAACTTTTTTTAAAAAGAGAGAATAGGCAAGTGAATTTATTTTCTTTAACACTGACAAAAACTGAGGTTGTAACAGCCAAACACACCTGAGATTGCACAAAGATGGATATGTGATTTTAAAAGGGATCCCTAAGCTCTCAGGCCTTTCCCGTGGTCGTCTTGCATCACTCACTAATGTTTTAGGCTGCCCCCCTCCCGGCCCCCAAGGATTCTGTGAGATGGCAATGGAGAGCACAAAGCCTGGCCAGTTCTGAGTTGATGCTGATGTTAACGCTGTTAGAGCAGCAGGCAGGGTTGAAACTGAGGCAGAGGAGGGAGGGGAGCTGCTGCAGATGGTGTACGAGATGGACGAGAACCTGAACCCCTTGTGAAGTCTTCACACTCCAGAGTGGCCCGAAGAGAGACTGAGAGTCTGTCCAAGGGGCGAGCCCGGTGCTAGTGACTCGCAGGGCACTGAGGAGTGTTAGCTTGTTCATTTTCGCAGCAAGGATTGCCATCCGTTCGACAGGTGAAGAAACAGAGGTGTGGGGGAATTTGTTGAAATCAGCTAGTAAATGGCACAAGCAGAGATCGAACCCATGTCTTCCCGAACCTGAAGCTACTGCCCTTTACGGGAGACAGGGCTGGACACAACTCACAACTCGCTCCAAGTTCGCTTGCACGATGAGCAAGAGGCCTTCTGTTGTGTAAAGCGTCACCCTGGAGGCCTTAGCCCCCCAAGAGGGCTAGGCAGGAGGACAGGGAGCCCCATCGGACTGTGATCCCATCGCCGTCCCGTTTAAGGAAATGTTTAAGAGTCTGCATTGGCTGTGTATGTCTGAGCTTAGCGGGAGCCCCAGAGGGTCGGTTAGAATAAATGCTAGAATTCCTTGTTCGTCCTTTGGGGTGCTTTTTTTCCAGCGCGCTGTTGCAGGCGCAGATTCGCACTGCTGCAAGTGAACCTGCCTCAGATTTGAGGTGTCCTTCTGTGCAGCTCGAAAGCACTTCCCCAACCAGAGATAGTTAGATCATGTTAAAAGCGATCAGATTTAGCTTAGTTTTGCACTTAGCTGTAGCGAAGGTCCAAAATAAACTGTAGAGGGCAGTCTAACAGAAGGAAAGCGATCGGAACGAGGAATTTTGAGCCTCGGCGCTCGCTGTCAGCGTCGTGCGCCTGCGCTTGCGCCTGCGCAGTGGGTCCCGAGCGTGTTGTGTGACGCCGGCCGCGCGGCAGTTTTTCTTCACAGCGGGCCGGGTCCTGGCTTGCGTTCGCCACCATGAGCCGCAACTACAATGATGAGCTCCAGTTCCTGGAGAAGCTCAACAAGAACTGCTGGCGGATAAAGAAGGGCTTCGTGCCTAACATGCAGGTGAGGCGGGCGGCGGGGCCTTCGCGGCTCGGGACGGCGTGTCGGTGGCTGGCTCGGCGTCTACCGCGGCCCACAGAACCCTCCCGGTTTCCCCGGATCCCGCCCCGGGTCCCGACACCCTCCCGGCGACTGTTTGTAAATGCTTCCACATCTGAGTGCCCCAGATACGCCGAGGGATCCGCGGGTCCCTGTCCTCGGAGACCGCGCCGGTCCTTTCTGGGGTGCACGGCCCGGCGGCGCCGCTCTGCGGCCGCGGTTGCGTTCCTCGGAGTCACGCTGCCGCTTTGTTCGCAGTGACAGCCCGTGTTCACTGAGCGGAGTTTCTAGGGCTCCCACACTCTTGTCTGTGCAGTAAAACGATTTCGTAGCCGGGTGCGGTGGGAGACAGGCAGGGCCACCTCGGGTCCATATCGATAGAGCTAAACCTGTCCTAAAACAACCAACAAACAAAAATAAGACAAAAGGAGGACACATGTGGCGCAGTAGGAAAACCGTAGGTTCAACCCTTAGGGCTTCAAGGAAAGACAGAGGAACAAACCAAGAAACAAACCCACACGTTTGTTTCCCAGCAGCCAAGATTAACAAGGCCAGGGCGGTTTTGGTATGCACCTCACTGAGCGCTCTAAGGACCACTTGGTAACAGTGATTGTACCGTCCACACTCGCACAGCAAGAGTCTCAGCTGGGACTTAGGTCCAGTCCACCTCTTCCCCTGGCAGGCTGGTGGGTCCCGAGGAGACTTGGGAGCCCCAGACCGGAGTCTGAAGGCTGGAGCTGCTGCTCCTCCCAGACTTGAGTGTCAGTGTGAAGGAAGCTCACGTGGGGGATGGAGTACACCTGCGTGACAGCTTTTCAGATCCCTTCCAGTGCCATGCTTGCACTGAAGGTCCGCTGCCTGTGGGCGGGAGGAATCCTGATTAGCCATTTCACTGTCATCCCCTCAGAGCTGATCACGTGTCCTTGTCAGCGCTGAGGACAGAGGAAGCCTACAGTGATAAAACAGTACTGTTTTCCCTTTGGTTTGGGAAACCAAACTTTTTTATTTTAACTAACCCGTAAGAATTACACATACGGGGCACCATGTGATGTTTTGTTGTACGTGTGTGTGTGTAATGTGTAAATCCGGGTTAACATACCCGTCATCTCAAAGCACAGACGTTGCTTAGCCTTTATCTGAAATGCTGTTTCCAGTGTTGAAATTTTTTGGATTATATACATAGACCATAATAGTGGGCATCCCAAATCCAAAAACTCCAAATCTGAAATACTCGGAAACCCGAAACGCTTTGACCATCTTTTAGTCTTTGATGGGAACATTTTCTCTTGTTGAAGATAATGTGAAACTTTAGTAACAAATAAAGCATGTAATTATTCTGCCCTTTGCGCCTGTACTTCAGTACTATGCTCAGACATTGCTTTTCTTTTCTTTGGCTCCAGGTTGAAGGCGTTTTCTATGTGAACGATGCTCTAGAGAAATTAATGTTTGAGGAATTGAGGAATGCCTGTCGAGGGGGCGGTGAGTGTTGGTTTCACTTGTGGTACAAGTGGCCCTTACTGTGTGGCCTGAGTGAATGATGACTCAAAAAATTGTCATTTTAAAAACATCATTTAGAAATTAAGACGTGAAACAAACCAAAGCACTGACTCTTCTTGGCCACTCAGGCTGTGGAAAGGTTTAGAGCTGAGCTTTGTGTCGCCATTCACCTTGAATAGTAATAGTAAGGGCGGTCGTTTGTCCTGCATACTATGTGCCAGGCATTTTGTTGGTGCTTTCCTTTGACTGTTCATGTAATACTTAAGAGAAATTAAGATTACAGATGCATAAGTCAAAATGTCATGAAGGCAAGTGGTTTTAATTTCAAATCCAGTAGTGTCCACTTTCAGACCCGACATTCTTAACTAGCGTCTCATCAGTAACATAGGACTTTGTACTCCTGTCTTGCAAGGCTGCCACAAGGGTTGGACATTGTTTAAATCACTATGACAATATGTGTATGGTGACAGTGAAACAGAAATCACTACCTAGTTCTAGTGCCTTTTATTTTTAAGATCAGTAAACTACAGCCCTCCCTCCTCCACCAGGGTGTGCTCACTTGTCTAAAGTGACACACAGATGACCCAGCTGGATGGGAACCCTGTCACCCCTGACTTGCAAGCCGTTGTTTTCCCATTGCCCTTCTCTGTCATTTAGATTTACCCTTTTGGGGGGCGTATTGTGTGCTATTGAAAGAGTCGCTTCTTCTCTACCCTGACAACACAGTTTGGCAGTTCCAGTGTGTCTTCCCATCAGAACATTTGCAAGAAGACTTGGCAAGGTGCATGCAGGACCTGGCAGTTGCCGGTCCGCCTTGCGCTTGGCTGCCTTGCGCATGGAAGCCCCCCTCCACTCGCACTTCAGCCATCCCTCCCCCCTTGGTTGTGCTGGAAGCCTTAACTAACCACCGTCCCTTTGTGTACGGCAGCCTAGAAATGTAAGTGTGTTTGTGCTGAAATCAAAAGTGTGCTTTCTCCCTAAGACCCGGTTTTTGATTCCAGGTGTTGGTGGCTTCTTGCCAGCCATGAAGCAGATTGGCAATGTGGCAGCCCTGCCTGGAATTGTTCATGTAAGACTTCACAACCTTAATCATTTATATTTGCCATGGCTAGAGCTTGTTGATTGGTGAATTACCTTGCCTGACAGTGGTATCATTTAGACAGTGATCTTTGAACATCTAGAGTAACCATGGGATCTTGGGACATAATTGAATCTGGTTCCTGTCACTTTTTCCAGCTGCCTTTGGCTGGAATCTGAGAACCTTTCTTGTAGTTTTTATGTTTTTGTATTTCCTCACCAGACTGATGACATTGTTCCTCTATTGTGTGCCACCATTAGAGGTTTTGCTGGGTCCCTATTTAAGAAGATAATTAGAAGGAACAGAAGGGAGTTTAAGGGTTTGGGGTGGGGATGGAGGAAGACAGTGTAGCTCTTAGACACGATTGGAACAACAGTAAGGGCTGAAGCTGGCTGGGATCTTGGGCCATGCAGTTAACATGCAGACTCACCTGGAGGTGCCTGTGGAAGTGGACTCACCCAGTGGTGTATGTGAGTCCTTCTTTATACTGGTTAGTTTGCTGTGGGTGAGGGAAGGAGATGAATAGACACGGTTTTTGTAGGTAAGTACTCCTAAGTGTCTAACTAAAGCCTTGCTGTATTGGATCTGCTGCTCTTTCTGGTGTGGGCTCCTTTTCTAGGCCCTGAACATACAGCATATACAGTTAAGAGTCAGAATTTATGAGACAGTTTTTTTAAACTATATTTATCTTTGTGTTTAGGTCTTCTTAATCTTTATTTTCACCAATAGAAATTTTTGTGGTTGAAAAATGTTGATTTTAAAAAAATGTTGATACTGAGAATCAGTATCAGGATCACCAGGTGACCATGTGCCAGCTTGCAGCAGCTGTTTCACTTTCTGATTCTCTTTCAGCGATCCATTGGGCTTCCTGATGTCCACTCAGGCTATGGGTTTGCTATTGGAAATATGGCAGCCTTTGATATGAGTGACCCGGAAGCAGTGGTGTCCCCAGGTAAGGTCACCAAGCCGGCTGCTGTAAGGTGTGTGGCTTCTTCCTGTGGGTCATGATGTTTCTGAGACAAAGC